GAAGGCTGGCCCTTTCTGTCCTCCAGGGGATGAAAGGGTGGTCTTTCCTTCCCAGGACAGCCCTGCATCCCATCTCCTAGGAGTCAGACCAGGAGAGGAACTAGGACCAGTAGGTCCATCCAACCCTGCCTGACTTAGGCCAGTTGCTCTAGTATGGAGCTACGGTGTGAAAGACCGGAAGCAGGTAGAGCTAGTGATAGTCTTGAAGCCCCTTTCTCATGCAACAAACAAGAACCAACTGCCTGAGGCACCCCAACCTTGCACACTCTCCTTTGTGATGGTAGAGATCTTAGCTCGCACCTGATTTCCTCAAGCCTGAAGGTTTCCTCAGAGTCACCGGTAAGTGACAGTGGAACAAGCCTTCTTTGCACTCCAACCAGAGCTCAAAATGAATACACATCTCCTCCATATTTGAATGTGCTGCCCTGCTTGCTCCAAATCAGAGCACCCGGCTTCCCCACAGCAGCATAAGCCAAGAAGATGTTGATGAGTTTTCTCCAGCCCTACTATGAAAATAGCGAGGACCGTTATTTCGCTTGCTAAATATGAAGCTGTTACCATTTTGAGCTGTGCTATTATTTTGAGTAAACAACACCCCTTCTTCTGACAGGCCTGCCATCTGAGGGGGTTCCCCACTTTTGTTGGGGAGCGCTGCTACCTTGAGGACATATCCCCCCCACATTTAACAAGAATAACAATGTCCCTCCTTAAATGAGAATGCGAACAACTCTAAAGCCGTAGCAGAAATGCTGTAGTCCACCCTCAAAATGCTAGGCCACATTTTCTTTTGGGCAGAAGTGGATTTTTCACTCGGCCAAGACAGTTATTCAAGCATAAGCTTCTTTACTAGATCGGTGCTCAGTCAGATGTGAGATCCTGGTCTAGAAAATCCACTTAGGAAAATAGGATTAGCGAACCTTCTTGTAACAGTTCTTGGTGCTTCTCCAATGTTCGTGCCCCTCCAATAGTTTCTTGTCTGTGTTATAAATGATTTTAAAATAAATCTTGTGTGGGGGCCATGTTGTGAGGTGCATCGAGGCTGTTCTGAGTTGCAGCAACAGAATGAAACAGGGCCCGGTCCGGTGCCATCCTCACAATGGTCTCATGTCAGAGCCCATCAGGGCAGCCACTCGGCCACTTCGTCTCATCAAAGGTCTTTCTCCTTTTCATTGCCCCACTACTTTACCAAGCATGATGGTGGGGACCTAGTCGCCCCACTACTTTATCAAGCATGATGGTGGGGACCTGGTCACCCCACTACTTTACCAAGCATGATGGTGGGGACCTAGTCGCCCCACTACTTTACCAAGCATGATGGTGGGGACCTGGTCAAGTTTTAGTTTATACTCAAATGCCGACTCTTCTCTTAAAACCATTTCTGAGTAAACTGGGGTAAAAAAACTTATCCACGTCACCAAGGTGTGGTGGTGGGTGGGTGGTGGTGGTAAAATGGGAATGCAATCCTGTTCAAATATCTTTTTAGTACAAACTATGTAAGGTTAAGTTGAGTGACCTACCAGCCATGAAAGCATTTATTTCTGGCTATCACTCTAGAAAGTTCCATGCATGTCCCCAAGTTCGCAAGTAACCACCCTGCACTAAGAACCAATCGTATGAACTTCCAGGTGATTCCAAGGTGTGCTTTTCGGGGTTTTGAAAACTTAGGAACACATATTTCAGATATTACCTTCCTCAATCTTAAATGGCAATTTCATAGCAAATACTAACAGATCACATTAGATTTGCTTTACCATTAT